TATATATCTATGCGCACAGTGGTCGCGACAAACGAAAATGAACTACTCCAGCACCGCCACCCCTCGTGCAACACTCGAGAAACTGAGCAACTGTACGGAAGTGACACGCCTCGACCACTCGACTCTTCCCCTCCGCCTCTTCTCGATACCCTCCGATGCAAAAGTGCACGCCTCCAATCTCCTTTCGGGTATGGAAACACGGACGAGCGCCCGTAAACTGTGTACACTCGCACACCACACACACACACGCGCGCGCGCGCGCGCACACGCACACGAGGGGGACGGCTGGAACAGGGTCGGTTTCGTGAATGGAAGTGGCGCGGACAAACGGCGGATAAACACTCGCACTCGGCAAAAACCACTCGACTGCGACGAGCCTACGACGTTCCCTCGGGCCAGGTCAACCCTTTATTGCGCACTCGCGCAACCCTCGCCACCCCGATGGAGGGATGGAGGAGCAACTGGGACGTTGCTGCGCCTGTGCGACCTGTCCACGTCCTCCGAAGGACCTCTCCCTTTTCTTCCCTCTTTTTTTCTTTTTTCTCTTTAAATATGTATTTTCTTTTTTCTCCCTCCCCTCGAAATTTTTCAAACGTTCTCACAAACGAAGGTTATCGAAATTGCGCCATCGATCTGATTAAGGTGGTTAATTTACAGTATTCATAAACGGGATATGAAGACATCGAAAGCTCCTTATGGATTCTCTTCCTCGTTCGAGGAAAGGAAATTGTTTTCTTAGGCATTCAGAGAGATTTTCGATCTGTGTTTCTAGTTTTTAGAGATAGTTTTAAGTTTTTGAGAAAGGAAGATCGTTTGAGAAGAGGTGGGAAATTAGAATTATTTTTAGAATTTCGTAATTTTGTATATTTTTGATTTTGTTGTTGAGTGGCTATCTTCGTTTGGAATTTGAATTCGGTTGGGTTTGTGTTAAATTAAGGTTTGGTGTGGGTTTAGCGACAATGGAACCGATTTTGGCCACTGTTCACTCTCGATTTTTCACGCCAGTTTACAACGCGAGCAACGAAAGTGAAGGTAACGTGAACTCCAGCGTGACGAATCCGGGTCAAGCTCAAAATCTGGCTCTGTGGACCGCAACCATTCATGTCTGTGGAGGAGAGCGTTCGTCTCCCTCTGATCTCCCTCCTTTCCTTCTCCACTAATCAATACCAGCCCGACCCCGCAACAAGTAGATATCCCGGCGGAAAGATGGAGAAAAAAACACTAGAGTTTTCCAGCTTTTTTACAAAAAGAGCTTCTATCTGAAAGCTTCTCCAACGTTGTTATCGATGCTGTAAACAATTCAATTACTGTTCTGTCCATCAAGAGCAACCTTTATAAGAAAATTTACCCAAATAATTATTAAACGAAGAACATCTAAAGTGAAACTTCTATGGAAAATTTCATGTTTGCAAAGAAATTGTTTCTGATACCGTTTCTTTGATAAAAACGAATTTTTATCTTATATATATTTTTTTATATTAAAAGTAAGGGATGATTTAAAAATTAATTAAGTAAATGTTTCTTGTCAAAAAGTTTAAAATATAATTGAACGTTACGAATATAAATAATTTATCGAAAAAATTCTTGGTCAAATTTTGAAAAATTTCAGAACAACCCTTGTCGTCACTATCCTCCCGAGAAGAGTCGTCGAGGACGCCTGCGCGAAAATAACGAACGATTTCGTTTTGGTTTCCGTGGCAGCCCTCGATAATTGGTGAATGGCTCGATAGACATACGCAATCCTTCGTAATCGTAAAACTGACTAGGAAAAAAAAAAAAAAAAAAAAAAAAAAAA